AACTCGTGGAAGATAGTTACCAACAAATTGTGAACCCGATCCCGATCAGCGACGAGCATCCACAGATTCGGGAATCGTAGAATCCTTGCCAAATAAATATCCGTATGAAAATCTCGTCGTCTATAAAATAAAAACAAGTTTATTATTTTAAAATATGTGAAATATATATATTAAATTAGATGCCAGTTTATTTAATTTGTAAAATAATCTAATAGAGCAATGTTAATGAGCACAATCGATGCCCTCTCTTGTTCGACAATAACTACACAATATACGTGATTCCTTATATTACAAGTTTCCTTACGAAGACATGTGAAGCACACCCTTAATCTTTTGGACCCCTATAAATAGCCACACAACTCATCATCGATCGGGACTAAAAACCGGGTGATTTGTGATGCACTCACTAATATGAATCTTTTTTTCTTTTTTTTTTAAGTTTTGTTGCAAAAATTCCCTGGCTTTGAATGAGTTCAAGACAAAATCCCAAATTACGAGAGTCGAAGGCCTTCTTAAGATCCAAAGTGTTAGCGTGGTTGCGAATTTTGCTCTTTCACAAACCTTAATCAATTGATTAGTTTAGTTAACCTAAATTACTTGTTAAACGTAACTTAACATGTTTGATGCCATTTACCTAGTTTACTCACTGGTTTAATTAGAAGATAATTATAAAAATTATATAGCTTATTATAAGACTATTATACGCTCATTGAATAGCGATTGCCGAGTTTCTTACGAATCTTATCAACACATTTTTCCGTTATGCAAATCGTTGAACCAAACTTGTCGTATTTTTGCTAATATTCAAGATAACTTTTCTAATAAAAGAAATGGGTGAGCATGTCCCGCTCTTTCTCTATGAACAAGAAATCTCCACGTTCACTAAAATCTAAAATGTAAAAGCAATCGAAAACGAAATGTAGAGAATATATATAATCATTATTTGTTTTTAAAGGAAAGAATTATCAAGAAGAAGAAGAATCGAGTTCTTTGAATCGCGCGTCACATGTATTATATAAAGGCTCCTCTGACCTGTCCAGCATGGTCCATTGTTTTCACTTGTCAACTTCTTAACCCATTTATAGTATTTCTTGAGTGAAAGAAACCCTAATTTACACCTTTTATTTAGGTAGTATAAAAATAATTCTTTGATGAGATAATCATTGAATTTTATATATATGTATTTCCGTTTATGATATTAATAATAGAAAGTAAATCATCAAAACCATAACATTTTTTTGTTAATTCTAATAGTATTTTAAACATATATATAAATCATCAGTTTATATTTTTCTAAAACCAAAAAAAAAAATTCTAATAACCCAAAAATAATTGATAACTAACCATTTTCTTTCAAGAAGGGACAGAATATAGACTTAATAATAATTAAAAAAAGATATTA